CTATATATTGATGTACTAATGCTATGTAGAAAGTTTGAGCCAATTTCAGGGTTAAATTTTTGAGTTAGGGCCATTTAAAAAATGAGCAAATTTCAGAAACTTTCCCTGTACTATAGCCCNATAGTTTTTTCCAAAACATCATTAATTCCAACAAAAGAAAAGACTATGCAACATATATTGCATACATTACACAGCTTATACAAATGTCAATTCACTGTACTATCATACATGTACATGTTGTGAGTTAGGTAGAAGTACATTTTCATACCTTTCCAGTGAGAGACAGTTCCCCAGTCATGGGAACATTCTGACGTATTGGACGATCCATAGCCAGTGAGAGGAGGGCAGAGACTATAGTGACACCTGCTGAGGGACCATCCTTTGGGGTAGCACCCTTTAATTAATAATAACAATAATAATAATTAATTGATAATAATAATAGTAGTAGTATTACCTACCTCAGGAACATGTAGACGAATTTTTGCTTTGTCAAGGAAATCATTTTTAGGATCTTTTGAAGACAAAAATGACTTTAAAAATACAGAAAAACACAATTTACATAAAAGCACCTTATACCGTATAGCTAAAAAATTTGGAGTGATAAAATTTTGGCAAAATTTTAACTCTGTGCATGTTTCTATGGAACCTTATCAAACTGAACACTAAAATTTGGCAAATGGGCCTCAATTTGCCAAAATTTTACTCCACCAAATTTTCTAGCTATACATGTATTTCCATATCTCTCTCTCTCTCTCTCTACCTTAGCAAAAGTATAAGCAATAACAGTGGACTCCTTCATTACATCTCCTAACTGCCCAATGGTAGTCATACCCCCTGCCCTCTCTCCTCCTTTGACAGGTCCCGCCCCTCAGCCACGCCTGTCTCTATATAAAGAGTAGTACCGCCCATTGATGTCCAAGCCAGACCCATAACCACTCCAGGGGGTGTGGTCTCGTAGAGACGATCGGAAATAAATGGAGGATGACCGACGAAATCTTTTAAATTAGAAGAAGAGACTGTGACAGGATCAGTGACAGGAGGGGGAGAAGGTTTCGCTTCTTCTTCTTTTGTTTCTTGTTTCTTTTCATCTTCTTCAGCTTCAGCTTCATCATCATTAGTTTGTGTCTGTGATACGACTTTAAAAGCTGCTTTATGTAATATCTACCAAATGAAGGAGAGTGAAATTACAATGAAGGAATACAATAATATTACAAGGAGGCATATGTACATGCCTCCTTGTAATATGTAATTCATATATTGAATTAAAAAAATATATTGAATTATATTGAATTCCTTGCATATGTAATTCATAAAAAATCTAATTTTGATCGGAATCAGTTCAAACTTTCTACACAACATAAGTACATGTATATGTATCAGGAAATGTAATTAAAATGGAGAATTCTCAACTTTTCATTTTTGACGAAATTTGGCCAAAATCCCTGTACTACAGTACAGGGAGTTTTGTCCAATTTTTGAGCAACTTTAAAAATTTGTAAAAAATTCAATCTTGATTGGAATCAACTCAAACTTGCTACACAATATATTAATGTATGAGTAGTTCCTTTACTTGTATTATTTCCATTCTGTCAATGAGTGGTCCTGGTATAGTGTCAGTTGTATTGGCTGTACAAATGAACAGAACACGTGAT